GGAAACATCACAAGACAGTCACTGCAGTGGAACCCACAGGGAGCACGAGGCAGGGGTAGGCCACGGGAAACATATGAAGCTCACTTGGAACGAGCTTGGAAGGATGGCTCAGGACAGAGATAAATGGAAGGAGCTTGTATGTGGCCTATACCCTGCCAGAGGTGAAAGGCATTGATGATGATGAGCGTAACACCATTCGCGACATGTTTTGCACTTTTTCAACACGAAGTTTCATGATTTTCATGTTTTATGTACAGAAAAATTGAAAACAGAAAACATTTCAGTATCCGTAATTTGTTGCGTATTTGGAAAAGAAAACAATACACATCAGATAGAAAAAAAACAACCAAAAATAATTAATAATCTCTGTAACTTTCAGCTGTAGCTCTTGATCTATAGAGGAAAGAAAAATGTTGTTTTTTTAATATAAAAAAGGACATCTGGACCTCTGATGCTGGCACATTATTAAAACATGGGACACCTGTCAAACATGAATCATCAGCAGACCTGAGAACAACAACTTTTGATGGATTGAAAAATTGAACATGCTCAAGATCTTCTAACAAGGGAAATAACCAACTTTTCACTTAAATGAGACTTGTTACGGTGATTACGTCCCTTTAATCGCATGGTGAGGCGTTAATTAAATTGTTTTGTGGAAAAAAACGTGAAAAAACGCGGATAATCCAAAATTATGCAAATGTTGCAGAATTACGCGAAAAAACGTGGCCGCGCCGCGGCCGCACAATGGCATAATTCTACGGGGACAGGTATATCCATTGTTGGACAGTGTCCTATTGTGTGGTAGATTAAGGTGCGTTTGGATAATATTATTATAGTTTACAAGTCCTGGGAATATTTCGCATGTGTAGGATACAACTCATACTATAAATGTAGCAGATATTTACCCCCCCCCCCTTCTCTCTATCTCTCTCTCTCTCTCTCTCTCTCTCTCTCTCTCTCTCTCTCTCTCTCTCTCTCTCTCTCTCTCTCTCTCTCTCTCTCTCTCTCTCTCTCTCACACACACACGCACACACTCACACATACACACATGCACGCGCGCGCACTCACGCACGCACGTGTGAACGATAACAATGAATAAACGGGGCTATGTTCCCAGACTGGACTAAATAAGTACTATACTCTTTAAAAACAATCTTAATGCCTCACTTTTCCAAACAGAGCAAACAGGACGAGTCCAAGTGTGTGCTTTCCTAAGAGGGGGGAATAGGCTTTCATAACACAAACACAATGTCATACCACTTCTTAGATGTTTGCTTTTCTGTTTCTATTCTTCTCTCATGCAATTAAGCAAATAAAAATGACTACCTCTACCCTATTGTGACTAAAATGCAACACAAATGCAAGTTATCAAGGCCCCCGTTTAGTTTTCAAGTATCCTTCCCCCCCTTTCCAGTTCACATAAGCGGGGCCTCGTTTGTAGCACCCAAGGCGACACATGGTTGATGACGTCACTCAGTGGAAATTTCCCAGCCGCGGGTCGTTCACCCAGCACGCGCAAATGGCAATGTCGATTTTCGCTTAGTTACTCCCACATTTTTAAAGATTACGCCAAAACCGCTAAACACAGAAGCATGAAATTTTAAGAGAATAAAGAAAAATTGTGTACAACGTATCAGTCAGTTTGACAAATCACAGCTCCGAAAAATCTTCAAAGCGCACCACATCAACCACTTTCGCAAACGTTTTCGACTGCTTCTTGGATGGGTACAAAGTTGTCAAACTGCATACTACGAGATTGACCTCTTTTCTGATTGGCTGCCAAGTTTCATTCATATATATACATTCACGAGAAACGTCGTGAGAGCGAGTTGAAGACAACAACCTTTGCGTTAATTCGTCCCACGAAACACTCCCGCGGCGAGGGCCAAAAATCGGCAGAACAAAGTGCGCTCGATGGGCATTGCTAGACTATTTGGACTCGAGTAGAGAAAAATTATATTCGGACTCTGAAATGTGTTCAGCATTAGGTCCCTTCTGACTTCTGACCCTTGTTTCTAAATATTTCCAGCATTTATTTATTTTTTTTTCCGATTATAATGATAACAATCGAGACGTGAGCTTTGATATCCAGTTACTAAATCTAGATCTAGATTTATCTAAACTAGCCCTCCCTGGATCTCTAGTATGAACAGTGGATCTCTAGTATGAACAGAACAACCAAGTTGAATTGACCTAGTCGGGGGGCAAAGTCAATTAGGTCAACCAATGAGATTGCGCATAGCGATATCGCACTCTCGACTTGCTGAGGGAAGAGGTCACGGCTGTCGGTTTTGTGCGATGTGATTTTAAAAAAAATAATTGCTGAAAAAGGATAGCACAGAACAAAATGAAATTGAACATGTGGCAATACCTATGGTGGTGGAAGTAATGATGATGCTGTAGTGGTGGTGGAAAGACCATGAGTTGTCGGTTACCCTGTACTGAGACACTGCCATTGGGTAGATCTCTAATGAGAGTGCTGTCTTTTTACTTTTGACACAAATTAGGCAATTCTAGTTCTAATTCTGGTTTTACGTAAAATCCCCACAACGACATTTATTTATGTAACCTCCTTACACTCACATATAACTCACTAAGAAGCTGAGTCCGAATAAATAAAACAATAGATAAAACCCATGTTCGGACTCGAGTCCGAATAGATTTTAAAAAATTTATTCAGACTCGAGTCCGAATAGAGCTGGCCAATTTATAATATGGGCTATGGCCGGCCTTTGGGGGGGGGGGGGGGGGGGGGTAGCAGTTGTTGTTGTGGTAGGGGTGTCAGATTCATTAGATCTAATGTAAAGGGGTTTGGACTTTGGGTAGAATGGTAACATAAATGCAGTTAGTGTTGTTGGGGCCAGTGCCTTCATTTGGAGCGTGGTTGTACTTTTGACTGATTCATGTAACAGAATATTTGCATTAGTTCTGTATCGGTATTTTTCAGACAAGCTTCAAGGAGGATGACTACGAAGCAGACCTGGCGCCAAAGCTGGTCCGAGTTACATATTTCCCTAGAAACAGACGCACCTTCTATATCCACCTTCTGCTGACGGTTATGGTGATGGTCATCCTGACGTGTGGAGCTATCGGAGCGGTTGTCTTTTACCGACACCTGAACAAAAAGGTTTTTCCTTTTGTCTCTTTTAATTATGTCTGGCGATTTCTCTTAGATTTTCTTTCTTCGGGAGAAAATACTTTTGTCAGAATGGCTTTAGGAGGAATAAGAGCCTGTGCCAGAACCACAGCTTTTTACTATGATACAGTATTGTTTATTATTCTTTATAAAATACATTATATTTGTACATGTTTGTTGCATACATATGTTGTTAATATGTTGCAGAGAAGCTGCACGAGCAAAAGGTTTTTGTTTTAAGTGTGACATGTTAAAACATTAGTGAAATGTTTTGATTTTTCCGCTATTTTCGCGTACAGTTAAACCTGTGTAAGACGGCAACCCATTGTCAAGGAGAAAAGTTGACGTATAAGACAGGTGGCCGTCTTAGGCAGGTGGCCGTATAAGACAGGTGGCCGTCTTAGGCAGGACTGATCAAGGTGAAGAAAACAAACCATTCCCATCTGAGGTCCCCAATCCAAAGTAGCCACACTGTTGTTGTTTTTGTTGTTGTTGGTTTGTTTTTCTTTGTTATTTTTATTTTGTTGCTGATTTTGCACAAGGGTGACAATAAAATGAAATGTATCAGATGAGGAAGACCGAGTGCCATGTTAAAACAAACACATGGGTTGCCACCACTCCGAGAACGAACGACGCTTCTGTCACAAGTTCATGTTGACGTCCTTTGTTACTTTGTTACAGACTGGGTAAACAGTGACCACTCATCTTACTCA